GCCCGGCCGCGACCCGCGTGGATCTTACCTGGGACCACGGCTGTGCGTGGAGATGCGACCTCCGGGCCGCAGCTGCCCTGCCCAGCTGCAAACAGCTCCGTCCCCACCCGCCCGGACCGGGCCATGGCCTTGACTGACTGCAGGCTCAGTACTTTCCCAGACCTGCATCGACCGGAAGTGGGGGGCAGATGCTGTCAGGCAGGCGCCCTATAGAATGTGCCTATGACCCTTTCCTCTCTAGGACGCTGGGAGGTCTCAGAAGGAGGTATATCTCTATGGTCAGTCATGGCCCGTGCAGGCTCCCCATCTTTCTCCTGGCTCTACTGCCCCTCCCTACATTTTTCATTTTTTTTTTTTAAATGAAACTGTACAAAAAAGGAGCTTCTCTGCCCTAGGCTAAGAGATGCATTAGTCTATGCGTATAAACATAAATATTTTATCATTTTAAATGTAACTATTCACTGTGTGTTAGGACAACCAGAGGACTCAGTTCTCACCTTCTACCACGTATGTAGGTCCCAGGGATAGAACTCAGACCATCGGGCTTGGGGACAAGCACCTTGACCCACTGAGTCACCTCACTGGCCGTGAACATAAATATCTAGAAGGCAATCTGACAGTATGTTCCTTTAGGAAATGTGATGGTTAGTTTTAACTGTCACCTTGATAATCTAGGATCACCTAGGAAGAATCTCAGTGAAGGGCCAGACAATCCCTCCCTGTCAGGTTGGCCTGTGGGCTTGATGTGGGAAGACCCAGGCTACTGTGGGTGGCACCGTTCCTGGGTTTGGGTCTTGGACTCTGAAAGAAAGGGAGCTGAGTAGTAAACATGCATACATTAATTCATTTCTCCCTGCTCTCGACTGTGGCTGTGATGTGACCAGCGGCTTCCAGTTCCTGCTGCCTCGACTTCCCTACAATGAGGACTGTAACCTGGAAGTGTGAGCTAAAACAAACACAATCTCCTCAAAGCTGTTTTTGCTTGACAAGGTCTCTCTATGTAGCCTGGCTGTTCAGGAACATGCTGTGTAGACCAGGCTGGCCTCGAACTCACAGAGAGCTGCCTGCCTCTGCCTCTCAGTGCTAGGATTAAATACTACCACTACCATGCCTGGCTAACGATTGTATGTTTGGTGGGTTTTTTGAGACAGAGTTTCGCTGTGTAACAGCCCTGGATCTCTTGGAACTCTCTCTGTAGACCAGGCTGACCTCAAATTTACAGAGATGTGTCTGACTCTGCCTCCCAAGTGCTGGGATTAAAGGTGTGCACCACCATCCCCTGCCTTAATGTTTTAACTATAACAGAATTACTATAAAAGACATGTATACCGGATTCTCTGGAAAAACAAAGATACATCTTGTGATAAGAGGGTTGTCTTAGAGCAGGTGATACTTCAGTTGGGATTAGACATGAGGGATTTTCCCTTTCTGGAAAAGAGAGAGAAGGGTATTGAAACCAGAGACTGGTGCTCAGGCCAGACATGGTGGTACACATCTTTAATATCAGCACTCAGGAGGCAGAGACAGGCAGATCTCTGTGGGTTCAAGACCAATCTGGTCTACATAGTTTCAGGCCAGTCAGAACTACATAGTGAGACCCTGTCTCAAAAATTAAGTAAATAAGAAATAAATAATAAAATGAAAAGAGACCGGTGCTTGGAAAGGCATCGATATTTGAAGGAAATGGTATGTTAGAAGATTTCTGATGTACTTCATGTGCCCCAAACTCATCAATGGAAGCGAGAAGCCTGAGCATGGTAGTGCATGCCTGGAATCCCAATGAGCTCAGGCTGACCTGAGCTGTATAGTAAAATCAGATGCAGCCTGAGCTACATAGTGAGTTTGAGGCCAGTTTGGGTGACATATAATGAGAGAAAGAGATAGATGATAGATAGATAGATAGATAGATAGATAGATAGATAGATAGATAGATAGATAGATAGATGACAGACAGACAGACAGAGAGGGAGAACCCACTCACCCAGGAGATCTCTGACTTCAGGACAGGATGAAATAGTGCTGACACAGTGGTAGCTGACCCCACTGTCTCTCCAGAGGCCCAGGTTCCAGGCTAGCCAGGGCTACCTATCGAGACTCTAGTCACAAAAGAAAAAAAACTGGGTAAAGACTTGTAAAAATGGTAGGTTTGATAAGCAACATAAGACCAAAATTTCCTAGTAAGATTTTGTTACATGTGGTTGGTTGAGATGGCTTAGTGATTAAAGGTTCCTGCCACCAGGCCTGACAACCTGAGGTCAATTTCTGGATCCATTTGGAGGAAAGAGACAACCAACTCCCAGAAGTTGTCCTCTGGCCTCTACATTTGCACCATGGTACACCCACACACAAATAAATAAAATGTATTTTTTAAATTAAAAACCAATTTTGTTTCATGTGCAAATGTGAAGACTCACTTTTTTCATAGTTAGGATAAAATAACTCCACCCATGGAAAACCAGATCTCCATTAAATCAAAAGTGTTCTGCACCCCACAGGAACCTCTCACCCCTATTTAATTTTTGTAGTTAATAAAAGAAGTGAGAGAGGCTGGGCAGTGGTGGCACACACCTTTAATCCCAGCACTTGGGAGACAGAGGCAGGCAGATCTCTGAGTTCGAAGCCAGCCTGGTCTACAGAATGAGTTCCAGGTCAGTCAAGGCTACACAGAGAAACCCTGTCTATAAAACAAAAACATAAAACAAATGCAAAACAAAAAAGGTACCACAGAAGACCTAGACATTTCAGACATCTCTCCTTGGGTAAAATCTGTGGTCCTCAGTCAGGGCAGTTTCACATCTCAAGTATTCTTCAGTGCCTGTGGATAGTTTGGGTTCCGTTAAACCAAGAGGACCCCTGAGGCTACAAGCAGCTGGTGGGCAGAAAGAAGGCAGGGGTGATATTACTGATCCTTCAAGAAACAGAGTCCCCCACATCAAAGATTATCCATCCCTGCTGGCTGTGATGGCTCACGCACTTGGGAGGCAGAGGCAGGTGGATCTCTGTGAGTTTGACGCCAGCCTGGTCAACCTAGGGAGGGCCTCCCTAAAACAAATAAGCAAACGAAAGCAAGCATGGTGGACCACACCACACTTGTAATCCCAGCACTCAAGGGATGCAGGCAGATAGCAAACTCACTGTTGTATCTACAGCTAATTCAAGGAAAGCCTGGGCTACATGAGAACTTGCCTCAAAAAGACAAAAATGAAATAATGCAATGAAATAAAGGGGCCCAAGTGCCTTCACTGTCTTCCAAGTTCACTATATTTGTGTTACCTCCTAAGCATCCCCAGGCCTGAACACATTATCTGCCAAGGACCACCCACAGCTGCTTAGGACCTAAGTCCAGGCCCTGCTTCTCTAGTTGGGATCTCTTCTTGGCTGGGGCTGTGCCTGTGCATGTGGATACTGAGGGTGCCATCTGGGTGCTGGGAGCTTCAGCCTTGCAGAGCAGAACCCTTCCTCAGTCCCACGTAGAGCACTACTGACTTAGAAGGAATATTTGTGGCTACGATTGTTCCCACCCCACCAACATACCTGATACGATTAGCCTCTTCTTGGCTTCCTGTTTTCCCCTCATCCCAAGAGAGTGGAGACTCAGAGAAAACACCCTCATGGGGTTGGCAAGATGAATCTGCAGATAAAGGCACTTGCCACAAACCCTGATCACCTAAGTTCCATCCTGGGGGTCAGCGCATATGATGGACAGAGAAAACCAATTCCTGAAAGGTTGTCCTCTGACCTCCACATGTGTGCAATGGTGTGAGTGTGTTACACACACACAGGTAAATAAATCAATAAGTTCAATTAGAACTTTTAGGGAAAACGTCATTGTGGTCTTGTTAAGTTTCGTCCTCTGCCCCATCCTTGTCCTCTACTCCCTTCATTGGCTCTGCCTCCCTTTCCTCCCCTCCCTGGTTGCTCCTTACTTGATAAGGGTAGAGGCTTCCAGGATCAGATAGAGAAGCAGTTCTCAAACAGGCCACTGGAAACTCTTCCTGGGCCCCCTGGTTCACGGACCTCGCCCAGAAGGGAAAATGGAAGCCAAGCAGGATGTGCAGGGAGCCCAAGGCCGGGGCGATGGTCTAGGTGAATCCCTTCACCCTTGCTAGTTAGAGTGAGCACCACCTGTGCAAGTGAAAAGTGACAGCCGGGGGGCCACCCCCAGAGCCAGCGGGATGACTGTATGCACCACACAAGCGCAGCTGTCGGTTGACTTTGTGGTTTACAGGCCTCTGTGACCGACCTAAAACATGCATGAAATGCCATCCGCTGGGAGCTCACTAGGTGGTGTTAGGCATGTTGAGCGGCCCCTCTCTCTCTAAGTACCAATTGCCTCATTTAGCAAAACTGAGGAGGCGAACCTAGGACCTGCCCACAACCTCCGAGTGCTGCCACGGTAAGCCTTCAGCTCTGTTGCCAGCAGGACATTTCCATCCCCCCCCCTCGCCGAGTCAACTGTTTGCCTTTTGGTTGCAAAAGGAGGACCTGGGGAAGACAGGACAATGAGGTCTCAGGTGCCCTTACCCGGGGTCTGGCCCTTTGACCAGAGGAAGCTGGAGTTCAGGTGGGCAGGACCCATCTGTCTTTTACTAAAACATGAGCAGGGGTGGAGAGGAAGGAGTCTAAAATTCAACTGGGGATGGTGGGGGTGGTGCAGGCAGCTATTCACAGCTTCTGGCACATTTCATCAACTAACCCTTTTTTTCCTCTGTGCGGAGCCCGGGCAGGAGTTCTCCTACAGTGATGAAGAGCTGACAGGATAAGACCAGCAGGCTGCCCCAGAGCCTGGCATTCAGCAAGGAAGGCTGGCCTGGTTGCAGAGCCTCCAGGGGGTACTGTGGCAAACCAGGTCACCTGGCAGTGTTGAAACTGAGGGAATTCAGTGAGAGAGAAAAACGATGAGGAAGATGAGGGGGTACTCCCCAAAAGACTCAAAGGCAGGCCTGAAGAGTCCTGCTGACCCAGGGCGATGTTTGACAGCACCATGGTTTTTAAACACCACGTGGAAGATGAGGCTGTGAGAAAGAGGGTGCTCCCATTTTATCTCCCCAGGTCTTTCCAAATACCTACCCTCAGTGCCAGGCACAGAGGTCCATCTACTACTTCAATGCAAACTCTCCCTATAGCCGGGAGCAAGGGATACCTTTGACCTCTGTGGACCTGGAGGTGGGGGTCCTGGGATGTGGCCCTTCTGCACCCCACATCCAGATCTGCTAATCACTGTGCACGGATGGACAAGCACTTTCCTAAGACCTGGAATGTTCTAGTATACTTTCCCCTTCCCACCTGGATTCTCTCTGCCTCCCCCACTTTCCTCTTCTGTCTCCTCTCCAGCCCAGACTCAACCTCAGGGTCTCAGTTTTCCCTGCTCCACAGGGATAAAGTAGGCTGGTTCAGAGCCCGAGAAGTCCAACTCTAAAGCTCAACTGGATGGACTTATAATCCACATGTTGGCTCTGTCCTAATACTTTGGCCATCTCATTTGATAGCCGGCCCATACAGGTTCACCCCAACCTCAGCCATCTGAACACAGCCTCAAAGCTTCCCTGCTTCTGTCCTTTTGTTCACCCAGCTCCAGCCTTGGGTTTATGCTCCCCTCTCCTCCCCATCCCCATACACATCCATCTCATCCCATGAACCTGCCCTTCCTTTCATAAAATCCTCTAAGCATCCACCCTCCCTGTCCCCAGACTATGTGCCTCTCTGCACACATGGAACACCTTGGTCATCTCTCAGTACTCCAGTCTTTATGCTGGGTTCCTTGCCAATGCTTCCCCCTCTACTACCCAAATCCCCACCTCTCTTGAAGACTACGACTTGGTCAGATCACTCCACACAGCCTTCCTGGATGGTGACCATTGTTCATTACTTAACTAAACCCAACAGTGCACGTACTGGTACTGGTACTGGGTCACCCCAGGTGAGAGCCAATGGGATGAAAACAGACAGGAAGGATTAGCTATTTTGACTCTTAACTATTAGGAGAAAGATAATATCAACAGGGCACAGGGCACAAAGCTTGGAGTGACCCACGGTCCTACTTTGTGTGCCGTTTCCCCAGCCTGGCTGTGCCCAGTGATAAGGACCTGGGTCAGTGAACTGACACAGGGCTGCTCAGAGCTCTGAAGATCTTTCCTGCCCTCTGGGTGGTGGGACTGTCATTTTCTATGGCCCCAAAGACACAAGGATGGTTTCCAGAACGCAAGATAAACCTTAACACAGTCACTGAACACCTTTACTCTATCGAGGACACTCCACTGATTCCAGATGATGTTTAGCATAGGGCTGGTGGCTGAGCAATGGGCTTCTTCATGACCTCTTTGCACCCACCTTGGGAGCCAACCCCTCTGTCCCCCGTTGGTCTCTCTGGCCCTCTGCTTGGGGTAACATTAGGGTCTCTGTTGGGGTAACATCTCTCTCCAGGTAAGTTCCCTGGGGGCAGCCATCTGTGGGTTTGGACCTGGGCTGCAGACCTGTTGCTGCCATTGGAATACCTAGGCTAAGGCCTCCAGCACGGGCTGTTCAGCCAGGCCAAGGCTATGACCATCTGATGTAAAGCACTCCAGGCTCCTGCTTCTCCACCTTACCGAGGATGCAGACTCAGCATTCCCTCTTGCTAATGCATCCAACACCTGGCTGCTCACCTACACTGCAAGGGGAACCCAACCTCTGGTGTTTTGTTCAGAGTCACCCAAAGTCAGATCTGCTGCATTCAAATTCCAGCTGCCATGACCTGCAGGGTGACCATGGGTAAGTGAACTCTTTCTGGGTCTCAGTTCCTTGTCTGTAAAAGAAAAATAAGTATCGAGCCTGTAAGATGGCTCTGCAGGGAACAGCTTTTGCTCTCAAGTCTGAGGACTCAAGTTTGACCTGAGTTGGAGCCACAGAACCAACAAGGTGATAGGAGAGGACTGACTCCAACATATTGTCCTCTGACCTCCACATATGTACTTGACCCAGTGTGAGTGAGAACACTCACAGGAACGAACACACACACACACATAAAAATATAAATAAATAAATAAATAAATAAACAGACAGACAAATAAACAAATAGAAACTTTTTAGGGAAAATAAACAGTAGGAGCCCTTTCTGTTGGGTGGCATATGTTCTGAATGGCATACCTAGAAAAGTCCCCAAGTAGACATGGGGAAGAGGCATATCCGACATGACTTGGGATGTCTACTCCCATCCCTCAGGTCCCACGCAGGCCTCATGGCCCACATGCAGCAGACACCTGCCTTCCCAGAAGGCTGTCTGACCAGTACATCAGCACCACCTGTGTGGGTAGTTTTAACCCCTTCAAACTGGGCTCTGGTTGAAAGCAAGAGCCTTCCAGTCCTGGGATGGGGGCAGGCTGATGTTAACCTCATGACCACCTTGATGGGCTGTATACGTGCAGGCCTCTTTATCTGATTGTACTCATCAGTGAGTGAATGGATGCATTTAGCATTCTAAAATGTTTTGGTTTACTACTGTATACTGTGTTCTTTCATTTTCTTCTTTGTGGTATGGTGGTTACAGCCTACAGCTTTGTGAATGCCTTTGGCCTTTTCCCATTCTTCTCTCTCTCTCTCTCTCTCTCTCTCTCTCTCTCTCTCTCTCTCTGTTGGTCTGTCTGTCTTTCTTTCTGTAACTGGTAGTTCATAAAAAAAAAAAAAGACTGTTGTAGATTGAAACACCTGGGTGTCCTGAAAAATCAGCATGTCAGCATTTGAAATTTAGATCAACCATTTTTTCTTT